AATGCAATAGCGCGCATGTCAGTATTGTTTGCTTTTACACGGAGGAAAAAGAGTGATTAATGGAATATATGATCTACGTTGCACTGTAATTCCCGTTTATTTAATAATCGTGATTGATTAACGGATTATCGCGACGCCCTTTATCGGGAAAAATATGCTACATTCATTTCTACATCGATACATTTGTACATGGCATGCAAAAAGACGAGTCACGCGTCAGTCTATATTAATAAGCTATATACGGAAATATATATTTCGCGCGATTGTCAGTGAGAGACTGAAACTGTTCAGGCAAAAACACTGTTACTCGTATACGTGTCTAAACCTGGATATTACTGGACCATCCTAGTCTTTAAATATGATTCTTTAAACTTTCAACATAGAATATATACGTGTATTCAATATATGCACGGGAAAAAAATGGTTGGATTAATCAATTTCTGGCGAAATGTAAACGATCCAGGGATTTTGGTTAAAGTTTTCAGAATTCTTTTTAAGTTAAACAAAAAATTTTTTTTTTATTTGGACTGAATATTCTAGCAACTTTAACTGAAATTTTTGGATTGTTTATATTTCACCGGAAATTAAATAAACTTCTTTTTCCATGTTTATATATATTTTATGTTGAAAGTTTGGATATTTATATTAACTCCTTCAGTGCTATTGACGCTATATGGTGCATCTTTGAAAAAATGATTAATCCTTAACCGAATTCAGTAAAGCTTGGTATCCATAGATTTTTAAGGTCGCTGAATTCGAATTTGAAGTTAAAATTTCAAAATTAAAAATGGCGAGTCTAAAATAGCTTGCTTAAAAAAAAATGTTAACAATTATACGATTTGCATGAAATTTGGTTTGCAAGGATTTCTCGGGTCACAGAATCAGAATCTGTTGTCGAATCTACTGTCGATTACTGTGTTGCTACATAACTTTAAGAGAAATTAAGTATGAAAATATTTTTAATTTTGAAAAATATTTTAATAACACACATTCTTTTTCAAAAATTCTATCTGGCCAAATTAAATTTATCTTTTGGAATTTTAACAATTTGACAGCAGATTCTGATTTTGTCACTCGACAGAAATCTTTGCAAACCAGATTTCATGCAAATCGCATAATTTTTAAAATGTTTGGACGCCATTTTGAATTTTGAAATTTTGATCTCGAAATCGGATTCAGTGACCCAAAAAATCCTTCCTGACACAGTTGTCATATAAATTCAATAGAGATCACTTTTATGGAGATCACTTTTGGCCCAAAAGTATATTTTTCGGCTGACATTGAAAGGATTAAAGAGCAGAACAATAAGAGTGTTCAGGATTAAATATGTGTTCGGGCATTGATACTTTTATCTTAACCACTCGTTAAATGCGAATTTTTTTATAAATTATACCAGTATGAAAAAAAAATCTAGAATGCGCCAAGAATACTTTTGCGATCTCGGAAATTGTAGAAAAATTCTGTACAGAGATTTTCACGCAAGGGATCCACTCCTTCTCTCTCTGTTTGAGACTTAACCTAAGGTACCCGCGACAAACTTGCGAATCTGCTCCGATCTCGGTTATTTATCTGCATTTCTTTGCTCGTAAATAAAACAATTTTTTGACTGATATGGGATACGTGACGAAATCAGCCTACTCGTGTCACGAAGGTTGCCGTAAATATCGTGATGAGATATCGGCGCGCGAGATTGCGAAGGGTTCAACTCGTCGACCTAGAGGTGTGTTTTCGCTAGTTTGCGCGGGGAACGACAACGTGTTACGACTACGACAATGGCAACAACTACCGTCAACAACGACGACAACAACACGGGAGCACAACTGCGAAAGCAGCGGCTATTGTTTCTCATTCCCTCCAAAGCCGCCAGCAGCTTGAGCGAATATATGGGGTGCTTGACTATTAATGACACATTCGTTGTGTGCAAGTAGAGTTCGCGAAATTAAAAGCAAAATTTCTCTACCATTTCGCAAATAATCACGTAAAATTCTGATTTCTTAATCGAAGAAGATTGGTGTATGATCATTGTCATGCACAATCATGCGTAAATCTTTTAATTAATAACTAAAAGTCTACATGGTCCTTAAAAATGGTGGAGGACTTTTTTATTGATCTAATGCACAATCACACGACGGCAGACCTCGCCATCATGCATCCATCGCGTGTGATATCATTTATCAATCTTCTTTGATCAATAACTCAAAGTAGTTTTCGTGGTTGCTTGCGAAATGGAGGAATTTTGCGTTTCATGAGTTTTACCTGCACACAACGTGTCTGTCATTAATTACCAGACGCCCTATATAGATGTACGTGTGTCTGCGAATGTATCCCGTGCGCTTGTGTCCATCCTATACCCATGAGCATGCCCACGTGGACGAGGGGTTGAGCTTTTGTGCCGTTCTCTCCTTTTTGCGTGCCACCGTAACGCGGTAAAACCATCACTCGCGTCCCAGGTGGGTTTTCTCTTTTTGCCTGGCCATACCGATCGCTGGCAACGGTAGCGCGAGCGCGGGAGCCACCTGTCCATCCGCACCCGTTCGCATTCAGGATCTGTGAGGAAAGCGTTAACCGATATTAATCACATCATACGATGACTCGAGTTCCGTCATCCGAATCCGCTTTTGATTCTGTTGGCCCGACAACGCGAACTACCGTGCAGCGTAACTATTTGGCTTTCCACGGGAGATCGGGAAGCGAGTATCGACAATCGATTTTTCACAAAGCTCGCGCGTATCTGCATATGGCGTTGCGCATCAGACAATTCGACTTTCGACACGACGCAACGAGACGTGACGCGCCAACGTTCGGCGTATGTGACGTGGTCGCTTCTATGCATAAATGTATCGTTGCAACAACAAAAGAAAGAGAGAAAGAGAAAATTATGCATAGTTATGTAGTTATGCACAGTTATGCAAGTTATGCACGTTATGCATTTTTATGCGATAGAAGATTGACATTTAATAATTTGATTGAATTTGATACGTCTCGTTACATCAGTTTGAGCATTGCTCGGAGCCTACTATTTTTGAAAATTAGTCCCGTGTCGTTTCCGAGATGAATAGTTCGCAATGGAGCACTTTCCATTATAATACAAATTACACTAATCATTGCGCATGTACGATCATCAGATTTGATATTTTGCATCGCGAAATGGCGACGCCATCCTGGAGCGAGATTCCCTGAATTGCGTTACCGTAGTTCGACTTGCATCGCGTTTATTAATCCTCAAGTTCGTTACCTCATTCAGAGTATATGCAAGGTAATATTGCGGTATTATAGCAATGATTTACGACACACGTTTATCTTCGTTAGAGCAAAGACCGCGGTGAATTTCCCGTCAGTTAGCGTCAGCACGAAGTCTCGCAGAAGGCGCCTGCCGATCATTACTTTTCCGACGTAGAACATTTGACATTTCCACGGGCGGGAGTTTGATATTCGTTCGTATAACACCTCGCGTACAACCTTTCTTGATCCTCCGTCGGATTATTTTTTAATTTTCCGGCTCGTTTTCGTTTTAGTGCCGCACCGTAAAGACCGAACGTGACATTTAGCGCGCGCGCTCACGCGCGTAAGTGCAATTAAATTTCAATTTTCCGAGAAGTAAGACACGCATAATAGCAATAACGCGTAATGCACGCGGCGTTTTTTTCCGCAAAGAGTAACCTCAATTTTTCAAATTTTCGCAATGGTTTGCGTTATTTTTTAAAAAAAAGGGGAAAAAATACTCTTCATATTACGACTGACAGATATTCAGAAAAGTGAATTTGAATCCAATCCCTCAACGCGAATATCTATTACATGCATTTCATGTATTTTGATCTTTTAATGACGAATCCAAAAGGAAAAAGAGTATCGTTAAAAGGATTTGCTGTTAAATCGAATTGCATGCGTTCTATCTCTCAGTTTGAAACTTTGAAAATTGATTAGGCAGAACAATTGGAAATTTTGCGGACAATTTTGCTTACTGAAAGCCGATTTAAAACGAGTTGCCGTAATGCAATTCATTTCCAAACGGTGCTCTAAAACCACGGATCGGAATCGATATAATTTGATAGAAGTTGAGATTGCAATGCGACAAGCACCAAATATGGTAAATGTGCCCGATGTCTCTATGTGTTGTAAAAATATTAAATATAATAGATGGCAACCCCGCACTCGCGCGCACGTGTGTGTTCGTGTATTCGGGCACGTTTCACATGCAATACAATTACACAAAGAAACAATTGCATAAATAACGGTGTTAACGAAGTATGCTGATGATGCGCGACGCACACGCCTTTATGCACGTTCCCAATATTTATGATGAGTTCTACTTAGGTATGTAATCGAACAATTGACCAGTAATCCTCCCCCTTCGCATTTTCGCACCTAGTGTCTGGAATGTCGCGCACGTGGAGCACTCGGAGAAGTATTTTGCTCTGGGCAAACATTTGCTGTGCGTGTAATAAAAAAAAGTTTGTCCTCCCATCGAATTCGTGAAACCACTTGGTGACGTTGACGCTCGGGAATATCAGCAGTGTTAACGTTGTGTCTCTCGTAACCCCCCCTCACAATTCTCGCCGACGTTTCACCGCGAAACGCAGTTCCCCGCCGACTTGCCGACTCTCGTGAGAATTATAAGCGACACGGAAGTTCCGTCACGCGATTAAAGCGCGGTCGCAACGTCGATGTAACGCGTACGTTGGTACCCGGTGAGAGGAATAGAGAAGTTAGAGAGAGAAGAAGGGGCGCGAGAGCTGCTTCCGCCCGCGATCGTGCATACGCAAGAACGGTTAACATCAGTGGACATCGGCGACCGCTGCCGCCGTCATCATCGCCACCTCCGCTACCTCCACCGCCGCCGTCGTCGACGGTGGCGGACGCGGCGGAGGGTGGTGGAGAACACTGGTAGGAGGTGCCGAAGAGTGGCAGCTACGTAACTCTATGGCTACGGGCGAACGATAGAGACGGAAGCAGCAGGGTAGGGAGAGAGAGAAAGAGAGAGTGGGAGGGGGAGAAGAAGAGAGAGAAGGAGAAGAAGGAGAGGGTAAATCGCGGTGGCGGGAGGTGGTAGGTTCCGCGGGCTACGAGGCAAACGGGCGACAGCGCAGGGTGCCCGGTGAGGAAGGGGTAGCGGAGGCCATGAGGAGCCGTCGGTAGGGGCGGCTGGCGCGGAGGCGGCGGAGACGGCTCGTTCAGCACGCAGGATCAGTCTTGGGGAGAGAGCCTCGCAACCGTTGCTTTCGCCTCGCTCTAGCTAGTATCTCCGCCGCATTCGTACGCGTTAGAAAACGCGCCGTCGCCGTCGCTCTTGCCCCAGCTGAGGCCGACGAAGCCGCGCGAAAACGCGTAACCGGAAGTAGAGTCGCGGAAAACGAGCGCCTCGCGCGTCTCAGTTAGGCGGGAAGCCCGTGGATCGTTTCCATCGGTCCGTCCACTCTTCTTGGCTCTCTACGTCTGACGTCTTCCTACCAGGTAGACGGGCTCTATCGCGACTGAAAAGAGCGCTCGAGGGAGAGAAGGAGAGTGTGTCCCTCCGAGGTCTTTCCTTCTCTCGACTCCTTGTTTCGATATATTCCTTCCTCGCCAGCGAATCGATTTCCATGCGACGTGGTGATCGCGCGTCGGTGGTCGTTAACGGTCAAGGAAAAGCCGGCCTTCGCGGCGCGTAAGCGAGACAGAGAGGAAAGTGAAGGCGCGAAAAGAGACGAAGAACGGTGGAGGAAACGCGCTTCACGTTCCGTACCGTCCGTCCTTTTCGACCGAGCGCGCGTTCCTCTCGGTGTGACGTCGACGAAGGGATAAATAAGGGTACGCGAAAAAGAGCGGGCACCGCGTGTAAGGTTCATGCCACGCCGTTGACCGCGCTATCAGCTCGAAATGACGATCTCGGTGTCTTAGAAAGGGAGATGGAGAAGTGCAAAGCACTACCACACAGCGGAAGCGGGAGAAAGAGAGAACAGCCGGAAAAAGAGAGCGCTTAGGAGTTGCGCTGACGTTTAAGCCGTGGCGTAGTACGCTCTGGAGTGGCGACCCTTTTCCTCACGAGAGCACAAGTGTAAGACTAATTAGCGAGGGACACTAATACGTAGGGAGGAATAGGAGGCGGAGGTAGAGGGTGGGAGTACCGACACACGGAGTTGAAGTGCCGAAGATGAGGAAGATCTTGTGTGGGTGCTTTGCGCGAGTGTGTGTCTCCCGCAAGCCCTCAGGCCGAAAACGGCAACGGAGAGGACGGAGGGAGGGGAGAAGACCGGGAAAAGGGCGGAAAATCCCTTGGTTCTTCCTCCGCCGAATCCCTCCCTCCTCTTCCCCTTCCCACTCTCTACTTCTCTGCCATTCTCTCCCGTAGGGTTCCCGGAATTCGCGAGAGTAACTGTCGAGCTGGCAAACGTCGAGTATTTCGACGAGACTGGCTCGCTGGCTAAGCGTTTTAGAGGCAATGTCTTTTTCTCTCCTCTCTCTCTTTCTCTCTCCGATTACGGATGGGACATCCGGCAGACAGGAGGACGAGGAGTATAACGTCTTCTTGCGCGTTCTTTTCCTGTTGCCGTTGCCGTTGAACTTTTCGAAGTCCACCCTCTGTTCATACATTTTACACGCAAAGTGACCGAGAAATAGGTGGCGGGCGGCGAGGGCATTAGGGTCACTCGATCAGATCTGGGCTTCTGTTTGCGTCAGACCGCTAATCTCCCAGGAGATTAGTCACTTGGTGGGTTGGGAAATAATTTCGTTGCAATAAATCGCGGAGGGATGAAGTATATATCGGGCGCTTCGAGAGTGAGCTCGCGGAAATGAACGAGATCGTGATTAACGCGAAACGATAAACTACGACGAGGAGGCTTCCTCTTTCTCGTATTAATTGCCCACGAGATATCGCTTGTTTCATGAGACGATTATGCCTTGTTTCTCATATCCCAGCTGCGCAGCGTTTCGTTCGCGTTTTCTAATAAAACAGCCCTAGACTCTTTATCGCCAATTTTGCGATAAAACCTCTCTCTCTCTCTCTCTCTCTCTTTCTTTTCACCTACACGCGTTACACGCACACTTACACTCTTCGCGAGAATCATTGCCGCAAATTAATACTTAATTTTATTATTTGGCACTTTCGAGGTCGCACTCATCGATAATTTGTCTGGATAAAAATCTCCCGCATTCTGATGAGAGCAATAATCAAAATGGCAAGGGGTAAGGCATTGTCTTGGATCGTGAGTTTCCGCTCGGAGGTCTCAAGATCCCATGCAATATTAAATAGCCGGGTAATTAAGCTCGAGTTTAACTTTTCGTAGAAAGAGAAGATCGAATGGAAATTACTCGGGCGCGCAAGCCCCGCGGCCCTCTCGTGCGGGGAACTTTAGCGGAAAACTCGTGGAATGAGCCTCTGAGGACTGGCGCGCCGCGCCGCGCCGTGCCGCGTATCTGTATCTATTTATAGCGCGTTTAATGCGAGATTACATCGATAACCGGTATGTTTTGACCTATTTTTACGTGGGCTCCTCTGCGTAAACACGGAAAGAATGAAACCACGCGATACATCGGAGGAAAGAGGAAGGCTGGAGATGTAATACATATCCCGGCGCCGCGGTCTACGCAAATAAGCGTTCCTCTCGGCCACCCCGCGCGCTTGTTAAGCCAAACACCAAAAAGCGGTATTCGCAGATCCACGGTCGATTCGACGGCGGGCCTGTTGCGCCACCAGAGCTACATGAAATTTTAAACACTGCTCCTGGAATAAATTCAACCGACGCGCGGACGCCTCTTCTCTGCGAGGAAATCCGTCACGAATCCGCGCGCACTTTAAGCTGCGCTAAAACTTTAAGCGCGACCCACGCGCATCGACCAGTCGGTCGGTCGCGGATAATAGGTTAAACGGAACCTCTCATTTTCTCTCTTTCTCTCCCAACTGCTGCTGCGACCTTTTATCGGGCAGCGAGACGCCACGATCGATAGCGCGCGAATTGGCGCGAATATCCGCGAATACACGACGCGCGCGCGGCATGAAATTACACGCTCGCTGATGATATCCGTAGAACCACACGTCGCTTTCTCTCTCTTTCTCTCTCCTCTCTCCCTCTCACGGTGAGGTGAGGTGAGGTGAGGTGATATGCGCTCGCGAATTGCGCGCGAGGGTGCGCGAAGTGCCAGGAGGCAACGCCGGCTACAGTGATCTGCGAACTCGTGGACGTGACGCAAAGCACACGGTGCGACGCGGCCCCCGCGTTTTCACGTTCCATGTGTCGTGAAAGAGGAGCTCGTGCCAACGACGGCGGTTTCGCGGACGCGGCTTTTCGGACGAGCGACGGCTTCTCGTGAATCGTCCGGTCGGTCCACCACACCAGCCGTTCCGTTCTCTCGACCGTCCTACTCGTCGGTCGTCGCGACAGTCGTCGGCGCCGTCGCCGTCCTTCGCCGTTGGATGTGCGCAGGAGATCGAGATCGAGTTTGAGAGGAAGAGTGCGCGAAGCGAAAGGCGCGCGTGCGAAAAAACCGACCACCCGCGCAGAGTGAACTCGCCGTTATTGTTTTTTTCGCGAGGTGAACCAGAGGAACGCTGAGCAGCGCGACAGGGACCTCTCTCGTGACGCTCGGGCTGTGAAGCAGCGTGAAAACAGCCCGTTACGCAGATATTGAACCGGTAAGCTTCCGCCATTGCGCGCTTCATTAACGCTGAATTCTCGGCTTTCGAGCGGGACCAGGATCATGGGGTCCTTCCTTATCTCTCATCTGCTTATCGCTCTCGCCGTGGCACTGCTTCCGGCCGGAATGGAAGCTTGCGCGGCGCCCATTTAGCGCGATTGCGAGTTTTGGCTACGGACGCAGGGGGAATGATATGTGTGTTTATCCGTGGCCTCTCTCCGGTAACGACTCAATTCACCGTGAATTATCCTCAATGTTTTGGATCTATAGCCAAAGTCGGGCTCGTTCAAGTACAGTAATTTCTGGCCGTTGTTTGTCTCGAAACCGTGTCGTGCGCGCGCGAATCGACGCTGCCTGTTCGCCTCTCTTTAGCATTTGTCTCGATACGCAGCTTCGATTTGTTTCAGTGGGAAGCAAATTGTAGCAGCGTTTGACCCGATTCAATTATAGAAGTTAAACGCACTGTTGACACTGCGCGAATGAGATAATGGACAGAAACATCTGTAGACCATTAGACTGCTAATGTCGCAAAAGCGAGTTGTCAAATGGCGAGCAGTTCGCACCGACGACGCGCTCGGATCCCTCGTCAAAATTAAGGCGGAGTACACTTTACGACGGGAACTTAGATTGTCCGGATGCCGAACGCTGGAACTTGAATAGTTATGACGAAGTGTGACGTTTATTCAAAATTTTCACATAGACAGAAAAGTGAAAATCGATACGACAAAGAGATTCTCGTGCGCGCGAAATGAACAGAATCATTTCTAGGGCACTGTGTACGAGCTGGATACACAAAGATTCGCGTGATTAGAGTTAATATAATATTCTAGATGAACAAATTCAGGACATTCGCGTCGAATTAGTCGCTCGGAGTAGTCGCCCGTCACGAAAAGTCGAGTCACCGCCGTGCCGTTGTCACAACGAGACACCTTGTACGTACGTTCAATTAGAATTAAGAGCTTTACAACAGCTGTTCCAGTAAATTAAACGACCGACGGATCAAGACATCGCGTCGTTAATTCGCGGACGTCATTTTACGATGATCAGCGTGAGAATAATGAAGTAATAATCGCATTACGTCATACGATGGGGATTCCAGTGAAATGATTTAGAAAGAGACCGATGATTCTCGAGCGTGAATTTCGTTGCTGAAAAGACAAGCTGCTGATTAACTATCACAATTTTTAACACTTGACAACGTGAATATAAGGATCGATGCTGCATATATGCAAATAAAATGCGCGAGCGCTGTTTTGCGGACATATTGAAATGTCCTATGAAAAACTTGGAAAACTTGGAATAATATCAAACTAGAAAGGGAACTTTGCACGGAGAAAATGTATGGTACAAGTTGCTGTAGAATTGTCGAGAAGCATACCGATATTCTGCAGTAATTGATTATCCTCTCATCTCATAAGTACTATTTATATTTTAGGAAAAACTGAAATGTACTATTAAGCAAAATTTGCTTTATTTCTGGTAAAATTCCTTAGATAGACAATCTATTCCTACATTAGAAACATAAAAAAACTTCAAGATAATATCCAATTGAAAAAAAATTTGCACGGTGAAGATTTCATAGTAAAAATTACTAGGAAATTTTCTAACCGAGGAATAGATTGATTTTGTGCAATAATTAACTATTGATGTTTTAGGAATTGAAAGGAACTATATATTAAAAAATTTGCTATAATTTAAATTCATATTTAAAATTCACATGTTTTTTTAGCGATATAAACTTTAGCTGACAGTTTATATTCCTGCACTACTAGAAATAAAATAAAATTGAAACAAAATTTACATGAGAAAACAAAAAAAAACTATAATATCCTCTCCGTGCACATAATACAAATCTAATATTGAATATATATTTCCACAATGATTCCTAAATGATTTTCGGTATTGTGATCTTATCGATACGTTATTGTCGACGCAAAGTACTGCCACGAGAGACCAGCGTGTCATCGCAATATCACAAATTTAGTGTTAATTACACGTGCGATGCGTTAGCTGCGAATACACTCGACAACGAGTTGAATAGTCGATGCGCGTGTTATCTTCTATCAGGCCTCGCGGTATGGATGACGCATTTACGCTCTTAATCCCTCGCCAGGCCGCTTTTGCCGCGATAGCGCATTTCAGGACGATTTGACGTCTGAACGATTTAACACTCATCTAGTCGCGCATTAACAACGTTTCTCGACGTTCAATCTCCCGGTATCCTATCCAACCGCAGCCATGAGGCGAACATATCCAAAGTGTCTGCATAATTCATGGTCGATCTTATGGTAGTAACCTCTCGTCCATCATCTTCGGCTCGTCGGCCGTTTTCATGTTCATCGCGCGACATAAAGTGCGACCGAGATAAACGTCGCTGAAGGGAGACCGTTTTCGCCAAGTTCTTTTGGGCAAAAGTGAGAGATTGGTGAGAGGGACCCTGCGTGAATCCCGCCCGGCTATAATTTGCCACCGGCATTCCAGATATTTTATTTGGGAATGATAATATAAGAAATGGCTCGGCAAACTAACGGGTCACTCATATACACTGAGAAAAAATATAATCTCATCTTTTCAAAATATAACAAAAATATGTTCTTATCCGAGAATTCCTTTATACATAGTCTCAAGAGGATTCTTCTTAAAGGGAAAAATATTCTCAGCACAATATTTGTAAAGAGGGAATTGGAAGTTGTTCATTTTACACCTACAATACGGAGAGAATTTTATAGTGAGGATTACTATAGGATTTTATAACTGAGGAATAGATCGATATTTTCTGCAATAGTTCATTGTCCTTCAATTTTATATGTGTTACTTATATTTTACAAAACGTGCCATTGCTATGTTAAAAAGCTATGATACATATTCTGTCCGTAGAAATTTCTTCTAGTAAGACGGCATTTTGCTTCAAGTAAATATATTCTTCAGTAATTGAATTTTTCGTTAAAATTACTAAAAATTTATTTGATTCCATTTTAACTAAATCTTGGTCTGATGTAGCAAATTTTCGTCTTAACAACAAAATCCTCTTTCCGGTGCATAATTAAGAGGATTCCGAGGATGAAATTATATGTCTTTGAATATGAGAATTTATTTTTTCGTTGTGTCATGTAACAGCGGACTGTGCATTTAACAGAGGTAAAGCCGCACCTCCTGACAGTTGCTCGGGGTTGAAGGGGGTAAATGCGCATCTATCGATTTTTCGGACTTTTCGCGAACGAACGTGGAAGAGCCGCGTTAGAGTCCAGACGCGAAAGTAGCGCAAGGTCGCGCAACAATAAATCCAGGCGTGGTTTATCCTTCAAGTCCTTTCACGTTTTGACGATTCCCTCCCTCGGTTTCGACGTTAATCAGTTCGCGAGCTTCCAGTCGGCTTCGTGGGATTCGTTCTGTCGAACGTTATTTGGCTCAAACGTTCAAAGACTTTAATAGCATCGGACGTTTCTCTCTTTCCTTCTCTCTGTCCTTCTGTGTCTTTCATCTCGAATACGCGAGCGACTTTTTCATCATTTTGTCCCGATGCCTCAGATTATACAAAATTTGCAGAAATGCAAATATCTGTATTCGGCTTATGCGTTATGCTAAACATAGCCGTCAATTGCGAAGAATTGGACTTGGTGAATTTTCAGAACGCTCAAACCGTTTTGTCAATTCCGATCTAAAATTGAAACGTTCCTCGATTGGAGCCCGATTCCATACGATATTTACTTTTTAAATATACTTATTAAATATACTTCGCTTTTTACATATACAGATTATTTTTATCGATCTGCACACACACGCGCGCGCGCACACATACATAAATACGTAAAAGACGCTCACCCAAAATTCGGAATGCATTGGATTTCGAGGACATAAAGGGTTTCCGTGCTACCCTCCAACCGTTTCGCAGACTACTCTCGGCAACGTCGTGCACGCAACCATAACTCGATAACGTATCGCTGCTCTCACTGATACCTAAAAATATCGTTCGACAGCGTGTGTGTTGCCATTGATATCTCGCTGTCGTATGCAAACCGAGGGTCGTGATTTCGCGATATATAACAATATATTCCGGGATTCGCGACGAATACGAGTGCGCACATTTCGAACAGCAGCTGGAATTCATCTGGTGCGTGTCGCAGCAGCGTGGAAGTGATGCAAACAACGAAATTGTCGATGACTGCGCGAGAGGACGATGGGCTCGTCTTCGCCCGGGCGGCGCTGGATCGAAAGCAATTTGAATAATTCACCCTTCCCGCTGGCTCGCCGGCAACTTCTTAAAAAGACTTTCGATAGCCTGGTAAATTGGCCCGACGGTCGTTACGGTTAAGCACTTGATCGCTATGAGATCCTCCCTTTTGTACTTACTTAAACGACCTTTATTGCACCGGAGGTTTTCGACTTTTGTAGCACCAGCAACGGTACGCTCTATTACCTACGGTATTCCATGCACACACACACAAGATACCATTGTAAGATCGTAATCCCGTCGTCTTGCGCGATTATGTGATTATTCTGCTGTTATCCAAGTAACGAACTCCCAATAACGCGAAAATTCATGCACGCGCGTTGAACTTGGAATTCTCGTTTAATTAAGGTGCTTCTAATCGCGCAAGCACGCGTGTAGTTCTTCAGAGGCTCTAATGGCCGACGATTTATACTGAAATGAACGCGCATCTCATCAATACGAGAATGATTGGGAAACGATTACTTTTGTATCTGTGAGTCGCGAGGGTAAGCGCTTTAACGCTGGTTATCCGCGCTTAGTCACGAGTGTCTACAGATGTACGTCGACATACATCCGTCGTGAGCGAAATCGAAATCTCATTTTCGTGCCTTGCGACTGTAATATCGACGCAATCGCGTGATGCGAAAGTTGCGAACCGAGATACACGATGACCGCATCGCTGGTGTAATCACAGAATGAAGGTGGAATCTAGCGCAGCCTTGGTTGGCCGATTCGAATCGTATCGTATCGTATCTGGATGGATCTTAGCTCTCGTATCGAGCTATGGC